GTTTTTATCAGCTGTTTGGACTCTCATTCTGACGGCACCCATTCACTGCAGAGCATCCATTGCTGAGACACTGATGGAAAAAAATCCAATACAGAAACAAACTTGGGTGAACTGTTCCTTTAAAAAGACCTTTCAGCTCATAGAATAATATCAGTTTAGTTTCTGTTGCTTCATGATGTTTTTTTTTTTTGCTGAAGTTCTGTAAACTCTTCCCTGTTTTACTTTCACAAACGCACACCTGTAATACCCGTTTGCTCCTAACTACGAACGTCAGAGGTCACCGTTTTGTGTTCTTGTCATTCAGAAATATGACGATCATTTGTTGAATGTTTATGTTGTGTGTCAGTCGAACACGCGTCATAAGGTGTTGGTGATGGAGTACTGTCCGTGCGGAAGTCTCTACACGGTTCTCGAGGAGCCGACGAACGCTTACGGACTCCCGGAGGACGAGTTCCTCATCGTTCTGCAGGATGTCGGTAAGTTTATTCAGTGGAAAAAGGTTCATTAGATTTGTTAAAAATGTCCTTCAGACTAAGGGGCCGTTCACACAGAAAGCGCTTTTCCATTCTGATGCACTGTTTTATTTGAGTGCAGCATGGCGGAGAGGCATTCTGTGCTGTGCTTTTTAACTCTTAAATGCACAAATGTTTCGCTCTCTTGATATTTTAAGAACAATTACAGAAGAATAAAATAAAGCATATTTCGTTACCTTTTGAAACTTAAAAGGGTTCAATTTGAGCAGATGATTTCAGCATCTGCCTCACATTCACCATTTCAACCATATTCTCAAAACTATCGTTTTCAATGACTTCATATTAGGGCTGCACGATTAATCGAATGCGATTGTCATGCGCATTTATAACAGCTAAGGGGCATTGTTAGGCACTCCGCTAAAACCCCCTAAGCTGTTATAAATTCACTGTAAACCACGGCTTCACAGGGCTTATTGCTTTTATAAAACGGTTATTCCATATACGTAGTAAGGTTTCACAAAATAAAACAGAGCAAATAAAGTGTAATGATATTAATAAAAACAGTATTCTTCCACCAAACAATGTAGCTCCTCAGAAACAGTTGTGGTTGCAACAAAGTGGTTGCAGAGCAACAGACAAACGTAAACAAAGGTGTATGTTACTTTGTAGAGTAATTTACAACAGCTTCGAACGCGGCTCAGTCAATCAGAATCAAGCACCGGAACTCTCCGTTTTATAATTCTCTTTATTAACCATCTGGTTAAATAAAGTTCTAATCCAAGTGCAGCACACATGAAGTTCAGCATGGTGTAAACGTAAAACAAATGACTTATATGTGAAATATGAAGGCAAATATTATACATGTCCTATATAATAAAAAAAAAAAAGCGAAATATTTCTTAGCCTAAATGTACACATTCAGTTTCAGAGTTCGACTCAACAAGTCACATTTCACATTCAAAATGACTAAAATTAGACCAGAATCAAGTCAGATCTGAATGCGAGTTTGCTAGGATTATTGGTTCACATTCCCCCGGTTTCAGGCTTAAGCCTAATCCCAGACTAAAATGTAAATCTGAGCTGTTTCAACTGAAAGAAACTTGCACTGACTGATCTTAAAATATGTCAGTGCCTTGGTTTTGTCTCAAGATGCACACCAGTAATGTTTTTTTCTAAGGCACGTTTATAAAAACTACTTAAATGTCCTAATTGACCTATTGCCTAATCCTGGTTTAACCTAAGCCCTCTCTATGAAACCAGGCCATTATGTAATAGTTTGCATGACATACGTAGGTGCTGTCAGCAAAAATGGAAAATCATTTCACTTAAAGCTTATAAAGTAAACAATAGATTTTGCTGGCTATTAAAAAAAAATACTCTGTCTCATTTAATACACAATAACCATGTGTATGCACAAATTTGTGCATTAAATCTGCATATGAATGTTATAATTGATTCTAAATTATTTCCCTCCTAACGCACTAACGATGAGGTGTTATATTTATTTAGGGGGCGCTGTAGGCCTACTTGTAATAAAATGAAAAGTAAACTACAAAAATAGAATTAAGATTGTGTTTCTGAATAAATAAAGCAGTAATTGGTGTCATAAAATCACAAGTCTGTTTTGTTATAAAGGTGAATGAATCACAATCATGACACTAGTAAATGAAATAAATTTATACATACAGATTTATTCATTAATGTGTAATATATTTTTTTCAAACTGATTATTTTTAGAATTTTCACAGCTCTTTTGCGTTAGACCATCTATTAATGTTAAATCCACAAATAAAATGTTAAGGTTTCAACTGCATGTGTCTGGAGGAAAAAAGATTTCAATGTACTCTCATTATGAAATAAATTTGATATTGTTTATTTAGTTGTAACAAATAAGTTTTTGCTCAAAACTAACCAAAATTAAAAATAATTGTTTATAATCTCTGCACAGGAGAGACTTGGTGTTGTTTCCAAACAAAAGGAAATATATATCGGTATTGGCATCGGCTATCGGCAAAAATGAGTTGAAAAATATCGGCATATCGGCAAGAATCCAACATCGTGCATCCCTATAAATTATACAGTATGTACATATATAGAATAGCAATTCAATGACAGACAGTATAACACATGTGAGCCTGGAGCACAAAAGCAGTCTCAAGTCGCTGGGGTATATTTGTAGCAATAGCCAACAATACATTGTATGGGTCAAAATTATAGATTTTTCTTTTATGCCAAAAATCATTAGGATATTAAGTAAAGATCATGTTCCATGAAGATATTTTGTAAATTTCCTACCGTAAATATATCAACACTTAATTTTTGATTAGTAATATGCATTGCTAAGAACTTCATTTGGACAACTTTAAAGATGATTTTCTCAATATTTAGATTTTTTTGCACCCTCAGATTCCAGATTTTCAAATAGTTGTATCTCGAACAAATATTGTCCTATCATAACAAACCATACATCAATGGAAAGCTTATTTATTCAGCTTTCAGATGATGTATAAATCTCAATTTTGTAAAATTGACACTTAAGACTGGTTTTGTGCTCCAGGGTCACATATTATTAACATTAAATGAAAACAGCAGCAGCTTTCAGTCTGTCAGCATCATGCAAACATCAAACATACAGTAGTAGTTCTGCACAGGATATATTGGCTTATTGGCAATGTGTCTAATTGTAACGTTTGCTAAATTAAAAAAATAAAAAATAAATCGTGGCAAAGCATTACATTCGATGAATCAAAATCAGAACGAGTAGTTTGGCTGGATGCGGTTACTCAGCTGACTGTTGTTGATCTGGCAGGTATAAGATCATCACAGAGAAGCCTTCCGGCGCGATCTCGGGCCATCAGAAGTTTGAGAACGGGAAGATCGAGTGGAGTTCAGAGATGCCGATCTCCTGCAGCCTCTCGAAGTGAGTCTCCAGACGGTCCGGTTCATTTAGAGAAGCGTGTCTGATGTGTGTTTGTGTGTCTCAGGGGTCTTCAGAGTCTCCTCACTCCAGTTCTGGCTAACATCCTCGAGGCAGACCAGGAGAAATGCTGGGGCTTCGACCAGTTCTTCGCCGAGACCAGCGAAATCTTACACCGCATCGTAGTCTACGTGTTCAGTCTGCAGCAGGCCACGCTCCATCACGTCTACATACACACATACAACACGTGAGCACGCGTGTAACAAACACACTCGATCACGACGGGCCCTTTTCACACACTGCGATGATGCGCTTCATTTATAAGACTGTATTTTTCTATATGTGACCCTGGACCACAAAACCAGTCATAAGGGTCAATTTCTCGAAATTGAGATGTATACATCATCTGAAAGCTGAATAAATAAGCTTTCCATTGATGTATGGTTTGTTAGGATAGGACAATATTTGGCCGAGATACAACTATTTGAAAATCTGGAATCTGAGGGTGCAAAAAAATCTAAATATTGAGAAAATCATCTTTAAAGTTGTTCAAATTAAGTTCTTAGCAATGCATATTACTAATCAAAAATTAAGTTTTTATATATTTATGGTAGGAAATGTACTAAATATCTTCATGGAACATGATCTTAACTTAATATCCTAATGATTTTTGGCATAAAAGAAAACTCAATAGTTTTGACCCATACAATGTTTTTTTTTTTTTACAATGTAGTTTTCGTTCACCACTATCCACCTTAGTTTGCAGTGTGCAAGTAAGCTATTTTCTGTGAATGTGTAAGACCCATCAGCTGCTATGTAAATAACTAGAATAATAACAAATCGCGGTAAATATTAAAACTGATTTCGCTACAAACTAAGAACCACGGAAATGTGAAAAGGGTCTTTTCGTTCTGCTAATGTAAAAATCATTTAAGCCGTATTTATTATTTGTTGATAATCTGTGTTTAGTCGTGTTATTCTATTGACAGTGTGATATTTTCTCTCCGTTCAGGGCGAATCTCTTTCAGGAGCTGCTCTTCAGACGGACCAACATAACGCCGTCTCATCAGGACTTTCTGTACGAGGGCCAACGCCTCGTCCTCGACCCCAACCGGCAGGCTCAGACCTTCCCCAAGACCTCCAGAGAGAATCCCATAATGCTACTGAGCAGAGACCCTGTCAACACCGTCGGCCTGCTGTTTGAGGACCGTGAGTGTGACGACGCTGACAGTCATGTGATGTTTGTTAGTAGATGTCGACCGATGGTGGATTTGACCAATACTGATAGCTAGGTTGGACCTAGGGCTGGGTAAAAAAATATCGATATCTCGATTTTAATCGATTCTTAAATCCCAAGAATCGATTAGTCTAGCCTGTTTTCAGTTAATGGACGGAACGTTGAAGGGCACTTCCCATTCAATAAATCGCAATAAGCATTGTGCTTTGGTACTTTTAATATGAAACAAAGTCTCAGATTTCAAATTCTGTCCATTGTATTGCAGTATTTAAACAATAAATGCCGTTTTGGCACTGTTTAATGTGGAGTGATCGCTGAACTGATCATCTCCTCCGCTTTAATACTAGTTATAGCACAAAATAAACATGACTAAACATCCGAAGGTAAGTTAAAAGAAAGAGTACAACTTTACAATCCGTATCCTGTCTCATGTAATCGCTCAATCAGTGTTTCAGCCGCGCAAACACGTCATAATGGCTTGTAAACAATGTCACGTAACGTCACATTTACCTATTCGGTAACCATAAACTCATTAATCATATAGAAAAATAAACTGTAGAGAGGGGCATTTTGCTAAATATATGCACCATATAACATATTCATTATAATTTTCACTGTTCTTCAATGTTTAATTTATGTTTGAATAAATCCATCAAGTTGTATGACAACCACCATTTAAATGTTTATATTAAAAACGAATTGAAGTAGAAATATTATTATGTAATTCTAACGTTATTATTTAAAAAACTTCATTGTACTACAAATCAGTCAATTTTAACCTTCAATATTATAGTAATGTAGTACCAACTGACTCTCTTGTATATTTTACAGCATTAGTTGAGAGTTTTTTTTTCCTTGAGAAAATGTTCCATGTAATATACCTAATATATATCCAAAATAATCGAAATTGGAAGCAAATCAAATTGTAAGCTTGTGAATAGAAATTGAATCACATTGTGAAATTTGTGTCAATACCCAGCCCTAGTATCGAGCCTTTAAATTTATAACATGTGAGGTAAATATGTAGTTACATTAAATACAGCAGACCCCTGATATACATGTGTGATCAGTACCTTCGAATCGTGAAATTGGTGTCAAAACCCAGCCCTAGTTGGACCACACTGTCCGATAAAATTAATCAACTGATATTTAGGGATCACACACACTGGATGCATCGTGTTCAGTTCAAGCGACGGTCCAAAACAGTTTATTTAATCACCAAACGGGCAAAAATTCACTTCAAGAACGGACAAAGTGGCATCGATGATTTTGAAGTTCCGTGTTTAAAAAAACAGAGCAAACGGAAAGAGAAAGCGTGATCTATATTACAGCTCTCTATATGAAGCTAGACTTTAACAGAGCCACAGCAAGACAACCGTTTAACTGAAAAATGCACAATACACTATTTTACAGCCTAGGGTGAAGTCATTATGTACATTAACAACAATTTGGGACAAATATGTGACCCTGGAGCACAAAAGCAGTCTTAAGTCGCTGGTATCAAAACTTAATTTTTGATTAGTAATATGCATTGCTAAGAACTTCATTTGGACAACTTTAAAGCAGATTTTCTCAATATTTAAATTTTTTTGCACCCTCAGATTCCAGATTTTCAAATAGTTGTATCTCAGCCAAATATTGTCCAAGCTTATTTATTCAGCTTTCAGATGATATATAAATCTCAATTTTGAAAATTTACACTTAAGACTGGTTTTGTGGTCCAGTGTCACAAATCAGTTTGCTTTCTCACGCTAGCTTTAAATATTCAACTTCGCTCGATAACAAATACATTGTGACCAGCTGGACGCAATTAGATAGTAACAATTGAGACATTAAGCATTTGGGTCGGACTTGCGTGTGTTTTGGTCACATTGTTTTAACTGCTGGAGGTGCTGCTAATGTTCGTGTCCTCTCGGCATTGATTGCAAACATACTGCTGTTCTTTCTCCACTAATGCAGCATCTAGTCAACAAATTAATTACTTAGTAATGATATGAAAACATGCACTATTGGATACTGTATACACACAGTTTTGTTGTCGTTTAAATCGATATCTGAAGAGGTCGCTTTCACACTTTTCAGCCGCTCCAGCAACGGACGCAACCCGGAAAAGCAATCAACTATCGGTGCCGATTAATCGGCAAAACCGATCAATTGGTCGGCCTCTATTTGTTAAAGGGTTAGTTCACCAAAAAATTAAAATTAGCCCATAAATTACTCACCCTCAAGTCATCCTAGGTGTATATGACTTTCTTCTTTCAGACGAATCCAGTCGGAGTTATATTAAAAATTGTCTTTGA